GCTGGTGCCTTAGCCACTGGAGCCACAGGCACTGAGCCAGAATTACCTAAATAATGATGACAGTAGTAGCTACCACCCCAAGAGCAATACAGACATCCAATAAGGTAACCCTCACAATGATTTTATGGGGTGAATATTATTCAGAGTCTCAGGTGGGGAGACTGAGGCATGGAGCAATCACATAACTACCTATAAGTCAGTGGTTCTCAACCTTCCTAATGTCACAATCCTTTAATACAGTTAAAAGGGGTCACAACCCACAGGTTGAAAACCTCTGCATAAGTCATTGCAGCATGTGAATGCCTGGATTTTTTTTTTTTAAGAGACAGAGTCTTACTAGGTTACGCAGGTGAGAGTGCAGGCAAAATCATAGCTCAGTGCAGCTTTGAACTCCTGGGCTCAAGTGATCCTCCTATATCAGCCTCATGAGTAGCTGGGACTACAGGCACATGCCACCATGCTCAGCTCTTTTCTTTTAGAGATGGAGTCACACTAGGTTGCCCAGGCTGGTCTTGAATTCCTCGGCTCAAGTGATCCTCCTGCACTGGCCTCCCAAAGTGCTGAGTTTATAGGCATGAGCCACCATGCCATGGAACTGGGACTTGAACCCACTCGGTCAGGCCTGTGTTCAGAACAAAGACCTCAGGCTAGCTCTCCTTATCTCCTCTAGAAGGCTTACTCCCGGCTTGGTGCCTGTGGCTCAAGTGGCTAGGGTGCCAGCCACATACACCCAAGGTGGTGGGTTCAAATCCAGCCCAGGCCTGCCAAACAACAATGATGGCTGCAACCAAAGAATGGACAGGCGTTGTGGCAGGCGCCTGTGGTCCCAGCTACTTGGGAGGCAGAGGCAGGAGACTCGCTTGAGCCCAGGAGTTGGAGGTTGCTGTGAGCTGATGCCACAGCACTCTACCCAGGGGGACAGCTTGAGGCTCTGTCTCAAAAAAAAAAAAAAAAAAGAAGGCTTACTACCTTCCTTGACCTGCCCCAAGTTTTTTCAAACTTAGCTGAGAGTAGAATCCAAGTTTGCCTGTCCTTGAACCTGCACTGGACATGCTGAGGACCCCTGCCTCGTATTCGGTGCACTACAGCCATGGGGCTCTCAGAGGCAGGACAGGAAGGGAGAGGTGCCAGCAGTGAGGAGGGTGTGGTGGGCTGACTACACAGCAGCCAGCAGCTGAGGAAAAGCCTCCTCCCGGCAGGCAGGACTGAACCACTCCTCGCACAGTAGTAGAGATTAACCTCTTTACATGACAGAAATAGGTATTCCCAAGAATAGTCTTTGGAGCTTTGTGGAGGTCTTAAATATTCCATAATAAAATGTTACACACAGTAAGAAATAGAAGTGCTAGAACATTCTTCCCACACTCCAGTGGCTTGCCTAGTAAGTAACTACCCAGGAGACTGCAGCTGTAAAGAATAGGTTTGGAGGTGCAGACTGGGAGCTAGACAGGGGCTTTTGGATACATGACTAGGAGTTACCCTACTGGAAAGTGAGATGAGGAACTCCTAACTGGAAGGTACTGAGAGGTATATGCCCTCAGTTTGAGTATAACAAACACAGGTATGTGGGTGCAGGCACTCTGATTTGGGGAAGAGGTTAGACTATTAGGTCTTAGAGCCACCCTATTAGCCAGTGAACACTGAGGGGTGGTAGAAGATGGATCATTCAGACTTGGAGTTTGGAGGTCTGGATATGGGGGCTCTCTGTGGGCAGACAGACAAAAGATGGATTAGTAGTAAACTTGGAATCATACCAGAAGACCTTGGGGTAGAGGAAGGTACAATTTGGATGTCAAGAAAGTAGCAGGTTAGGCCAAGGATAGAAGCAAGGTGGGGTGGGTTTCCAATACTGGCAGAGGTTCATACAGGAAGCCAGCCTTGGGGTGGACAGTGACTGCAATACCAAGTAGGAGCACAGGCTCTGGCTGTCCTGGAAGCCACGTAGGCAGTGTTTCCTTGTCTAACAGGGACTACAGGAGGTCCAGTCAAAGGTGAGAGGCCAGAGAGAGTGGAGACTCTAGTGGGGTGGAATGGTGGTTGAATCTGGAGGGGATCCCAAACCAGAGTTGGGAGTGAGGGCCTTGGCTGGGCATGAGTCTACATTCCAGAAAGGCGGTCCCAGGCAAGGGACAGAAATCTCAGCGTTGGGCAGAGTTTCTTGCTGTTTCCAAAAGGAGTGGGGTCTCTGAATCCTAAAGAGAATTCCGGATCAAAACCCTGGGAAGGAGATCCCAAGATAAAACTAAAGCATTGGTAGTCTGAACTAAATCTTTGGGGAAGAGACTATGTGAGATCCCAAATCAGAAGTGGGTACCCGAACAGGACCAGGGATCATTTAGCAATATTCAGGGTCCAGACTCTGAGGTAAAGTTATGGGTGTAAACAAACGATCCCATACGAGATTAGGAAGACCCTTCAAGGCTTGTCGCGGGAGACTAGATTAAGAGGAAGCTCAGAGTCCCACGCAGAAATAGCAGTGGGCACTCGGAGATCACGGGGAGACACGCAGGGTTTCATCGATACTGGGGTCCCGTTGTGTGAATCGAGAAACCTGAGGGTCCAGATGTGGGGTAAGAATCCCATGTGTGAGTAGCGTAGTCCCCGGGCAGTACTAGTGCTCAGAACTCTTTAAGCAGGGTCGGGGTGGGGGGTGGGGGTAAGAGGATGGGCGTGCGCACTCTACCTGGTGCCGCCAGCGGAAGAGGCTGGCCGTGTCGATGTTGGGGTGCGTCTCGTCCTCATCGTCAGACACCTCGATGTGGTCCCACACGCTGTAGTCCACCATCTTGCCTCAGCGGCCCAGCCCGCTAAGGCTCGGGTGGCGGCGGTGGAGGGAGTACCAAAGACACTGTCGAGGAGCTCCGCCCCTTCCGCTTCCGCCCAGGTGTTACACCTCTTGGAACCGACGTCACATCCCTAGTAACCGCGGTAGCGGCACTAGAGACTGAGCCTGCCTTAAAGAGCCCCGCACACGTGTTCTCACCCTCCAGGAGTTCCCTCCAAGGCTCGGCATTATCCAGCGCAGGGGCTCCACTAGGCATGCTGGGGGCGATATGGGTGACGCTCCGACTATGAGCCCCCTTCATCTCCCTCCGTCCCAAAGCGGGCTTTTGCGGCGGCAATGGAAGTACAGTTGACGAGGCTGAGAGAGAGCATTGTCCCCTTAGCCACGTCGCAGTGACGTCTGCTGGGGGCAGGGCGTAGGCGAGAAGCCTGCCTTGTGCCCCTTGTGCTGCGGGACTCACACCTACTCTGTGAAGGGGTGGCTGATCTGAGGGACCTTCTCAGTCCGAGGGGTCCTTGGCCCTGCCCCGTAAAGGTCTATGAGAGGTGGTATGGCCCTGCCCTGGAAGGGTCTAAGTGGGGACCAGTAATGGCCTTGCCTGTGGTGGGGGGTTGAAGTTACGGGGGGGATCGTAGCCCTGCCTGGGAGCTGGTGTTTCCCCGCCTCGGACCACCTCGCCTCCACCCGCCCCCGCTAGCGAAGATTTTCTGGAATCACCCGGACCTCCCTAACGGGTCTCCGGCTCCCCTCCGTAGCGTCTCCCTGCACGGCCGCTGGGTGTCGCTGAAGTCTAGCCAGCAGTCACTGCTCCTGGCCTGGCGCCGAGTGAAAGACAGCTAAGGGGCGGGGGGAGGGGGGGATTTCCTTGTAGTCCCAGTCTGAGGTCACTCATAGCCCCACCCCTACGCCTAGGGGTCCCTTCTTCGGCTGGGCCCCTAACGACTCCATTACTCTGAGTTTAGGGGGCCCTGATGGCACACTTGTATACTTCCCAATCCACGTTTTGAAACGGGGATAAAAGGCCACGTTGCAGCCGAGAGCCGGGATTATCTCAGATTAAAGAGTGCCCCGCGGGGGACAGGTCGGGTGGGAAGAACTCCAGCCTGCAGTGTGAGCTGCGCTTCTTCTTAGTCTCTTCTGGAGTCGAGGTTGGAGGCGGGCCCTGGCAAGAGTGGAGTGAAGGGCTCCAAATAGGGGGAATTCCCCGAAGCGAGGGAGGGGGCGGGGCCATCTCGCGGCCGCCCTTCCCCCTCACGCTCCATTCAAACTTGTGAGTGGGCAGGCAGGGGCAGGAGTGGGGTGTCTCCCTCTCTTTCCCCTCCCCCTCCAGCCCTGGCAGTCCAACACACCAGAGACTGTTACGGCCCGGGCACATACGCGGGCGGACATACACCCCAGCTCTCACAATCGCACACATACAGACACACACACTCACATACCAACAAAGAAAGGGTCTGGACCCCCAGGCCCCCTCCCGCCCCCCAGGCGGGAGAGGGCGGGGCATCCCCTTCACAGTCCCACTGCCAAGGTAAGCTTCGGGGTTCTGGCTGCTAGTTACGGGGGGGTGGGGATTCCGGCGCCCCAGAGGGAGGGGACTAGGACAACAGAGGCTTCCCTGGATCCCCAAGAAAGCCGGGCTCCCTACCTTGTAGGCCTCCTTTTGAGGGCTTTGGCCCGGCTGCCAGGTTGGGGAGTTGTGGAGAGGACCCTGGATGCCGAGGGTTTCTGGGTAGGCGCGCCCGGGGTGGTGGTTGTGGTGGTGGTGGTGGTCTGTCTCCCAGTTCAGGTACTGGAGCTGCCCGGCCCCAGCGAAACCCGGTCGCCAGAATCCCAGCTACCAGAACAGGGGACAGGGCACCGGAAGCTCCCCCTTCAGCGCCAAATATTTCCTAATCTGCCAGCACATCCTCTACAGCCCTGGGGACTGAGATAGAGAAGAATTCCTAGCTGCTTTTCACTGTGCCTCTTTCCCCAATCTCTGCCTCCGTCGGTGATCCCTTACTGTGTCTCTTGTTCCTGTGGGGTGAGGGCGGGCGGGGCCTGGGAATACTTTGGGGGGGCTACCCTGGCAGCTTCCGTTGCGTCCCACAGCCACAAGCCACTTAGCTGCCGGGCTTTGCCTAACGCGTAAGCCTCAATTTCCTCATCTGAGAAGTGGGTAATTACACATTGGAAGATTCGGCGAGGTCATTCTTGCCGGGCTTGTCTTTGCGTCATCATTTACTTCTCCACTCATTTATCCAGAGAGTATTTCCCAGGTCCTGTGGCTACCACCTGGGGCTGCAACAACCAGCCAGCCCAGCAGGGTCCCAGCTCTTGGCTGGTGAGGGAGCAAGATGAGTACATAAACAGAAATCCCTTAGGTGATTTCAGCACGTGAAAACTAAGATTCTGTCCTGGAGCAGAGAGAGACTTAGTGGGGGTGCAAGGCCCTGAAGATTAAATGAAATTTCTAGTTCCCATCTTCCTTCCTCCTTCAGTCTGAGTTACATTAGGGCAGGGTTAGGTCTCCAACGGTGCCTGGCATGCAGTAGGTGTCCAATTCGTGTTGAATGAAATAGAGGATTAGAGAAACACTAGATCCACAGTATAGCTGAGCACAGTGGCTCATTCCTAGGAAGGCTAAGGTGGGAGAATCGCTTGAGCCCAAGGATTTGAGGATAGCCTGGGCAACATAACAACACCCCATCTCTAAAAAAAATTTTTTAAAGGGTAGTGCCTGTGGCTCAAAAGGAGTAGGGCACTGGCCCCCATATACAGGAGGTGGCAGGTTCAAACACGGCCCTGGCCAAAAACTGCAATAAATAAATAAATAATAGATTCATACCCCTGTAGATCAGGAAGAAGGCTTTATCATGAACCAATCCAATCCCCCTCCCATTTTTCACAGGACGTAGTTAGCCCAGTGTCTCATCGTTCCTGCAGAAGTCAAGATGGCTGAAGGTTCTTGGTGCCTGTAGCTCAGTGATTAGGGCACCAGCCACATACACCAGGGCTGTCAGGTTCAAACCTGGACCAGGCCTGCTAAGCAACAATGATAACTACAAAAAAAAAAA